CTGGGGATGTTCTCTGATTGGGAGATTGGAGGTTTTGAGGTGTGTGCAACCACTTTGCAACAATAGCTGTTGTTCCCAGGTTCATCTTGATCCAGGTTGGTAGCACATGTTAGGGTCCCAGCTATGGTAAAATAGTGAACCTCCAAACTGAAACAAAACACTATGAAAGTATAAAAATACAAACAATTCATTTTTATATTAAAAAATTACCACCAATACATTTTATCTTAAAATTTTATCGTTTATTTTATATTTTAAAGGTTTACAATTCCATTCAAAATATATTTAATTGAAGCCACAAAATTGTTTAGGATATTTACATTTCAGCATTAAATAACCTATAGAGGTTGATATGTGGCTAAACAAAATCAACCAAACCAATCCAAATGGTGACCTCTATTTGGCATACACTGTTGTAGACAATTTTTAAAAGTTTTTCATCAGCCGGAAGTTCAAGCACTTATTGGTCTTCCAAGTGGCTTTCTATTAAGTGCTGAACCTTTGGTCTTGAAATTTTTAACCCATAGCAGTACTGATTTTCTATCCAGAACAGCATCATTCCCACATAACATGAAATGTCTTAAATGTTTTAACAGCAAATGTACAGTGTTCACCTGTCCAAGCTATGATAGTGCTGAAACAAAATGGTAAGACGTTAGATAGATGAAAACACCACTTTCTGGGGTTAACTGGCATCACACGGGTGACAGTTTAAAATGTGGGAGGTATTTCTGCCAGACATTGTATAAGGAAGATTTATTATTTTAAAAAAAATTTTTTTTTTTTTAACAATTTTTACAGATTAACGTTCATTAGACCGGTGATTCTCAACTGCCATATTGTCACAGTATAGAGATGCATATTGTTGTTACCTAGGGAAGGTTACTGAATAGAATAGTCACATGAAGGTTGGTAATGAATGATAATACTTAGGACACGAACAACACATATAAGATTCACCAGCGACACGTAGAATAAATTTATAACTGATTTATATTATGTCTTAAGTTTTTCCCTTACTATTTTATATTGTTGTATCCTAGGGAAGGTTACTGAATAGAATAATCAAACAAAGGTTGGTAATGAACGATAATACTTAGGACAAGAACAACAAATATAAGATTCACCAGCAGTGCATAGAAGTAGTAGTCAACTACTAGAAGTGAGTTAAGTGAATTCCACAATGAATCTCCAACTGTAGACCAACATACAGTATTTACTACTCTATTTGTGTGAATGGGGACATAACCATTATTGTCCGTATGTATGCTACAATATATATATATATATCTAAAAATATATAGTTGTGTAAAAGTAGTAAATAATAACGGAATTATTCATTTTGTTTCAATTAATTTGCACAATGGTGTAAACACAAACTTTTAAAGAAACAGTAACACTGATAACATTTGTAGCACACACCATATAAATATCTGTAATTCAATCACAAAAAAAAAATACAAATTTGTTATTAAGGTCAACATGTGTCTCAAGTCATTATTGTTGTTATATCATTGTACATTTTTATTCTTTCATTTTCAATATGAAGAAAAGGAAAAGTCTTCTATAAACTACAAATACATATAAGTGGGTAATTTACATTACACAATATATCAACATTCAACCCCATTACAACATTAAGTATCCCATTTTATTTGAGGAGAAGGAAAAACTTTTTATTTTTTTTTTAACATCTGTCTATATTTCTGAGATGAGGTATCATAACTATTTACAATATTTACATTGTTCAGACTGTTGTCCTCATCTTTATCATATTCATGACATTTCAACTGTTGTATGCACTAGCCTTCTGCAGGTGACATACGTTGGAATTTCAAACCAAACCCTTTATTTAGTCCTCTAACATAGACTGTTCTAGTTCCACATGCCATGCCTTTTCTGGATATCTCAGTTTCAGTTATTTCCCTTTAGTAACTCAACTCTCCAAGTGTTTGTTCACCTCTGCTTTGGCCAGGTATTGAACTCACAACTCTTGGGGTCAAGTCACTGGATTACTTCAACCAATGGATTTAACCACTGAGCCAGGTGTTCTTGGGGGATCTTTCACATTTTTTTTAAAATCATTTCACACCAATCAAGGTGGGAATGTCACTAGTATATAGTGGTTACAGAGAGTGAACGTGGGAGAAAATGACTGAATATAAGGGAGACTGAGGAAAAGATAATAGCTGAACGTGCTTCAAGAAGACAGAAGATGGCGACTGACATTGCATTTAAATTTTTGAAGATTGTATTTATCAGGGAAGCAAGGAAACTGGAGTTCCACAGGTGGGAAGTGCTAGAAAAGAAACTGTTGGAGTTGAAGTATTGTTCATCCAATACAAAGCCCAAGAGTCATTCAAGGTAGAGAGTTTCTGAATGAGATTGTTGTCAGAATGAAACGAGAAGTGCTTATTATAAAGATATGTGGGATAGATAAAAGTTAACCCTAAACTTTGAGACATTAAGATTGTAGTGATTGGGGAAGCATCCTCTCTGGGGGAGTCTGTTCTACAAAGTAACAGTTCTGGGGAAGAAGCTGTCCAAGTTGAACTTTATTGTTACCAGTGGATGGGAATGAGGATGAGTTGGCACTGTGTACATGGCATGGCAAGTCCTAGTAATGTATGTTTCAACTGGAGAAACAAAGGAATGTAGATCATCTGAACATGAAAATAGCAACAGAGTAGAAAGAGGTTTTCAATGTTTCATCCGCAGGAAAAGGGTTTTAGGGTGAAAGATAATTCATGGCCCTGAAGGCAACAAGTGAAAATTGGACAGCCCCAGTTTGGAAATTTTGGTTTGATCCGACTCTTGTAAAGATAAAGCATTGCAGGAGTTAAGCATTTTCTGGAATGGTACAAGGAACTAACCATTTTCCTAGCATCCTTAGTTCTAGTTCTCTAAGTGAATTGTTTGATTGATTGCTTTTTTTATGTCTTATCAACTTTTTTGTAGGTTATTTAAAGCCAGAAAATATTTCTAGATTTTAAGGATTTTTGGAGATAATTATTCACTTATTTATCTTTATACCTATCCCAAGGTTATTTGCAAATATAACAAATTTGACTGGAATTTGAAGTAAGTCTTCCAATTTCTAGTTCCAAGACCTTATTCATACCTACACATTCAAGATTACAGCACCCATCTCTGTACTGACCAGGCTTGAAATTGCTTAACTTCAGTGATCATACAAGAACCACTGTTTCAATGTTATAGTTGTAAGCCTAAATGACTTGTCCAACAGAAAGAAATTTGCTCATTTCTAATAAAACGCCTCATTAAATCTATATACAGAATTTCATAAAAAATGACTCTGTGATTTTAATGTTACAAATAAAATACTTCCCTCCTTTAATGTAGAAAACAGATATTAACCGTAATAATTAAAGTGAAAAGTTGGACATAAACTGCTTATTGTCAGCAATTCACATAAAAGAAAATTCAATTTATAGATGAGATTATTAAAGGTGTTTATGACTGTAATTTATGTCACCTGATCATGCTTCCCTGGGAATTACTGATTGCATACAATTGAGGTCAGAGGATGATATTGTTCTATCTAACCAAATATAAAGCTCGCCTGCCTACATTGATGGACAGCATTCAGTTACTGAGGCTTAGTGTGATTATTTAAAGGCCAATGCCATATTACTGATCTTTTCCTTTTATGGAAAAAAAAAGTGTTGATCGGCATTTCTACATAAATTTGAATAAACGTGTGAATTCTCATATCAGTCAATTTATAAATAAATCATGCAGCCTGTGCTTTCCATTTGTCTGAAACTCTGTGAATTTCCTTAAGAGACGGCCTTCTATTCATTATACCAGCATATGAAAAGTAGTCTAATATTTGAAGATAGCTATTCTATCATTGTTCTCAAAAAAATTGTTAATGCAATATTCACTCACCCAAAAATTTATTCTTACAATCCAAAATATATTTTGGCTTTAAATAACCAACAAGAGGTTGATAAGCTATAAAAATAAAAAATAAATAAATCGGTTCTAATATTTGCATATATTTTTAAAAAAATTGTATTGTGCATTTTACATGCTAATAAATGCAGTATTTTGAGGCTATTTTTTTTTCATTTTTTAGTACCTCATTTCATCCAACGGTGGAATTGTACAATTGGCACTGTGACCAGAAATAATCTTTTTCAAAATTTATTTCATATTATGACAGATTAAGCACCCTAGATTATGACAATTAAAAAGAAATATGTGTTAACAATAAAGTTAATAGCAGGGTGTGGGGTATCCAGTTTTTTATGTAAGGTCATTGTAAATTGATCTCCATATGTAAGCCAAAACAAAATATGCTTATACAGCAATAAATGATTTTGAAATTCATAATTTGGAGTGCATAATTGATAATAAAATATGAAAAAGAAATTCAAGTTACAAATTTCAAATTTACATGTTAGAAATTATACTGTGTGAGCATACATGTTTTGGTTATAAAATCACTAATTTAGTACTTTAATTAGTTGTTTAATATGGGCTCGGTATACAATATTATTAATTAAACATTCCCCATTTAGAGAACATTTCTTTCCAATTTAGCAGTTGTATTTTCTATTTTTTTTTTTTTTTTTATCATTTCTGTTGTTGTTAATTTTTTTGTTGTTGTATTTACCTGAAAATTTTGTTTTTAGATATCAAGTTCTCCACATTCACTACACAAGTATAGCTTTAAAGTGATTTCTATTGAATATCTTTGTTAGTGTTGGAGAACTTCTGAAATGTTTATCCATTAGTTTGAGTAAAATACATGTTTCATTTTTTTCATATTGTGGATGAGGGTTTGAACCATAACATGATATAGAAATTTTTTATCCTTACATTTTATTTTTACGTTACATTCCAGATTCTCTTTATGCTTACTGTTTTCCAAGGTTTTTAAATATTTCACTTTCACTTTGTTGAATATGCTTTTGTTGCTTGAGTCAATTACCAACTTGTATTGCACCGATAATGCTTTTAGGTCAAGCACTATGTTTCTTTTGCCCCCAGTGCACAGTGTGCTCTATCTATCTATCTATCTATCTATCTATCTATCTATCTATCTATCTATCTATCTATCTATCTATCTATCTATCTATCTATCTATCTATCTATCTGTCTATCTGTGTGTGTGTGTGTGTGTATGCAAGTTCCATTGAAAACAACAGACAAGGTGCAGTGGTTGAGTTTTTTAGTTTTTTTATATAATTTCTCCTGTTCATATACTTGCTAAAAGTATAGCTGAAAGCACTTGCAAAAAATTTGGACAATTTTTAAAAATCCACATTTCAACCAAAAACGTTTGCAGCTTCTCTTTTTAACATATACATATACACTTTTCTTTTGTTGGAACAAATATAACCTCTTCCCTATATATATAATTTTAACAAAAATAATAACATAAATCACTACAAAAATAGCCATTTTGTTTCAACACTTCTTGCATCTTAAGTGATGGTGATGAATGTAGAATAAAGAGTTTTAAAAGATTTTATACATGCTCTACTCTGTATTGAGCACTTTTGAGAATAGTATTTTCGGTTATTGGAATTTATTCTGTATACATCAATCCTATACTTGTGTGTGTGTGTGTGTGTGTATATATATATATATATATATATATATATATATATATATATATATATATATATATATATATACACACACACATATATACATACATATATGATCTGATTGAAAAGTATTGGGACTGGTGCTATAAAAAAAAAAACTATAACAAATATCAATTCTGCATTTAATCTCCTTCAAAGTAGTCCTCTTTTGAAGCCACACACTTTTTCCAGCATTGTTTCCATTGATGTAAGAATACCTGGAACTTCTCTTTTGGGATAGCAAGCAGCTGCCTCACCAACTGGATCTCCTCAACATCTTGAAAGCTTATTCTTTTCAAATGAGATTTGATTTTTGAAAAGGAAAATGTTGCAATGGGCAAGACTTGTGGAATATGGGGAATGTTGTCCTGAGCCAAAAACTACTGCACAAGCCATGATCAATGATCGAACCTCCCTGGTGTGGTGAGACAACCACACTTTACACACTTTCTTTCCAAGCAGTGCTATAAGCAATGGAATTTTATGAGAATGTTATAGCTTAGTATGCATGCAAGCCAAAATCCAAGGTGAATATGGTGTTTTGTGATTTTATTGTCTACTTTAGTTCTGTTACCATAGCAACAGTCCCAATACTTTTTGATCAGACCTCACAGACCTCATTGAGATATATATATATGATGGCAAAGGTCATATCATTTTGATAGGATTTGAGTAAAAACAACCTTGCCAATATCTTAGATTTGAATCCTCTGCAGCACAGTCTCCAATTCTCTTGAATGGTTCTGGTCATTGGATGAAGGCTTTCAGGTGCTAAGATTCCACATACTGCTATGAATAACTATAAATAATTACATGGTTACCATTGGACTTTTGAGTGGGTAGGGAGTTACTTCATCTACCACAGCATGTTTGCTGGCTTTTCTCATGCAATGAGTGGCAGTCATCATATCCAACAGAGTGATATGACATGAAACTCTGGAGTTGGTCATTGACATAAGCCCATTCAACATTTATTGATTTACTGAATAATAATAATTTATATTTATATATATATATATATATATATATATATATATATATATATACACACACACACACATTAACAGGCCTGGTAATTTTTGATCTGCCTGATGATTGTTATTACATTAAAATCTGAGTAGCAGATTTTAGTAATGATATTATTATATATAAGGATAAATATATAGTCTTAAGGTATGCTATATTTATGAGTTAAAGTGCTCAATATCAGGTATAGAGCATATGTAAATGTAAAAGTGGACATTGTGGTCAACAACCAGCTGCAACAGTCTGTTTCATGTTCAAATACAATTCTCAGTTGAAAATTATGTATATATATATATATATATATATATATATATATATATAATCATCACCAGGTAAGATGAGAATGAATAGAGTACAACTCTAATGTTCGTAACATTAAATTTAAAAGAGGGCTCAATACAAAGTAGAGCAATATTATTTATTTTAGTATATTACACCAAAAACATGTTCAAGCTTGCTACACAATTGCAGTTGTGTTTTGATACCTATCAATGCATCTCATCAGTTGATTGTAATTTATCTGATGAGATGCATTGATGCACATCGAAACATGACTGGAATTGTGTAGCAGTTTTGAACATACTTTCAGTGTAATATCCTAAAATATATATAATTTATACTTGTAAAAGTTTTGTCACTGAGCTGATTGATGTTACCTTCAACATTCCAACTCCAGAGTTTCAGAGATTGATTCTCCAGGAATCACTCCTTCCACTCATCATAGGTTATCAGCAATTGATTGCTTATGCTTTTTTTTTCTTTTTTTTTTTTTCATTTTAATATGCACTTTTCATTGGTGCAAGTTATTTTTTCATTGTATATGTCTGCACCTGTCTGTGCAGAATGTCATGGTTATGTTTTTTTTCACTTTACACTTGCTCCATAAGCATTTCACATTTTTCCTTTCAGTTGTAACCATTTTAGTTTCTGACTTTCTAGATATGGGTTGTCTAATGAATTTTGTCAAATCCAACGAAATTCTGTTTCTCATTTAATGAGATGCTGTTCTGAATTGGAATTGTGGATAAACTATCCATTGTTCATGCTTTGTTCTGTTTTTATTCAAGTCTTTCAACTGGCTTAGTCATTATCAAGAACTGGATGTTTGTATTGTAGTAGACAAGATCATGTTGAAAATTGGCATTTTTGGGAACATGAGAATCCAAAATTAAAAACGTTAGAAATTATCTACACTTTTTCAGCAGTAATCTTTTGAAGATGGAAAAGGTTGTGTGATACTGGATGTACATTTATCATAAAGGTTTCAGAAATTAGTGCACTTTCAATACATTTTGGCCATAATAAGTTATTTCCTCTTTTAATCTAAACTGTCAATCTAGAAAAACAAATAAGAATATAACCTTAATAAAAATAAGACACTGTCACCTCAACCATGGCTACAACTGAAAAGAAGTTCTTTAAACTTAATTTGTTATATCTACGTAAGAAAACAATAAGAGATATCATTAAAACATAACAAAATAATAACATAAAACCTGGAACAGGAATTTGCAAAATAAATAGCCACAAATATTCCAAAAATACATAGGTCCAAGATTTAGAAATTTAGCTGAAAGATTACGTGGACAGAAAAGGAATCTTTCAGAAAAAAAATAATACTTCCATATGCATTAGTTGTTCAATAGTTTGAACCATATTTTTTTTTAACCAAGATCACCCCATACAAGGTAATAAAGCCACTAACACACAGGGTTACTGGATGTGGAAAAATTAGAAACATTGCTTATGAGCAAGATCAAAAGAGTAATTGGGAGGATGGTAGATAATGATTGGCATTTAAATTTTTGAAGATTAAAGTTGGCTGGAAAACATGGAGCTGGAAGGGAGTTCCACAAGTGAGAAGTGTAAGAAAAAAAAAACTGTTAGCATGGAATTTACAGCTACATCTAGCCAACACAACTGTAAATTGATGAGATCTCAATGCCAGCCTTAAATTCAAAAGTCTAGACACCATCGCGAAGAGCTCCTCTGAACAATTACCATGAAAGTATTCACAGAAAAGGCAGAGAGAGGCTGCAGTGGGAAAGTAACTGAAGCTGAGATGCCAGATCAGGATGAGTAATATTGCTGATTCTTCTTTGGACATTATCAAGGATCTATAGATAAATAACAGGAGCACCAGACAATATGTAGCAGCAATATTTTAAGTATGGAGGAATGGTAGACTTATAGATATGTAGGATAGATTCTGGAGAGAAAAATTGTCTTTCACGATACAGAGAATCAACTTTCTTATAGGCTGACTTAGCAATTGCTTAAAGAATACAGTTTTAATTAAAGCTGAAAATATATTGAAAGTGTACTAATCTGGGAATCCTTTGCAATAAATTTCCATCCAGTAGCATACAACATATTTTCCTTTGTCAGAAAATTAGTATTTGATTATACGCAAAATTATGACATGTGGTTGACTTAAAAACAATAATGTTAAAACTAATAATAAAAGCAATAAAAAAAAAAAAAAAAAAAAGAATCTGATCAGCTCAGATAAATCTCTCAATACATCAAATGTTGTGAACATGACAATAAAGACAAGGACAACAGTCCAAACAATGTAAATAGTTACAATATCTCATTTCAGAAATATAGACAGGAGCGGATATCAAGCTAAATTAAATTTAAAACTAAGTGTTTTTGTATCTTTTAATGTTTTGATGTAAAAATAAATCCAGCTACTATTGTATTTTCTGTCCTCCCTTTCCTCCACTTTTTATATATGGTTGATTCTAACAATGCCATTATTATTTTTCAAAAAAGTCTCTTGAGACAAAACACAGCAGTTAAGGTATTTTCTTCCATTTTGTCACCCACTTAGCCTCTATTTGTCTGACACAGACATATGATAGAAATATAGTTTTATGGTATGCTATAGTAATTGTTAAAAGTGCTCAATATCAGAGATAGTATGGGGAATTAAAGTGGGCTTCATATAAGATCCCCACTTGTTGAATGTAGATGTCGTAATAAATAAAGAATGGAACACGACTGATCTCTGATTTATACAAGTTGTATTAAACAATATTACAAATAAGTTCTTGCAAACTTAATGACGTTTGCAACCAAATTTATCTGCTGAAAAAGAGTCAACATTTTCGCAATCTACGGAGTCTGTGGTGATAACGGTGTTGAGCAGGCTGGTTCTGCAAGTGTTCATTTTGTAGGGCTTACCAAGAGTGAGTGTTCTTCAAAAAAAGGTTGAAAAGCTTGCCAATCAGCAACTGTAAGCTGATTGGCTAACCTTAAACTGCCAGGGACAGATAATCATATCTCTTGTTTCTTATAATAGAGTGAGCTTAGATATAAAAATATGAAAGTAGACACTGAGGTCAATACTGAGTGGCGACCTTTTGTTTCATGCTTGATTATAATCTTCAGTCCTGAAGATTGCTTTCAAGTATGAAACACTATTACCATTCAGTGTTGACCTCAATGTCCACTTATATATATAAATGTTGACTCTGTGGTTTT